ATTACTTCCAACAAGTACCTCTTTTTTTTTTTTTTGACTTTCAAAAAGAAAAATGAAAGTACCTTTTATAAATAAATGATGACGCTTCTAAAAAATATACGGAGTAATAATGACCATGACGCAGTATTTACGTTGCTGTGGGAGTGTGGGCGGCAGGGTTTTAGCAACATACGAAGTACAGAGTATATACGGACTTTATAACTCTCTCATCTCCCGCGTACCCTAGCTACATTAATTGAAGTTCAATAATAAAATTATTAGCAGATCAAAGAAAGGGGTTGATTGATCGAAAATGGTTATGGCGATGGATTTGGATTTGAAAAGGATGGACGAGCAGCTCAAACCCCACGTTGACCGACTTCTCAACATCCTCGAAAAGGGTGGACCTGCCGGCCGGGGAAAAACTCGCCTGTTTCCGACGGAAGACCTACTGTTCGGGATGGAATACGGCAAACTTCTCAAGGAAAAGGGCCGTCTCAAGTCAAACCCAAAATCCGGCGGCGGAAGAGGAAATCCACTGTTTGGGTCGGCGGAAAAGGGTTGCCACGAGCGGTCAACGGTGTTGAAAGAGGACGCCGGAGAAAGGCATCCGCCGCTGCCGGCGGAAGGATGGCAGTTGGACCCCAAGAAACTGACGATCAAAGCTCTCATCGATGAAGGTGCATCCGGATTCATCTATAGAGGCTCATATAACAGTCTTGATGTTGCAGGTAACTCCTATACACATGTATTTTATTTATTTCTTTATTTTATTATTAAGGAGTATTTATTAATTATTTATGTATTTGTTTATTTATGTATTTATTATGTAATTATTCATTTATTTATTTATTTATTTAATTTTATAAAATTATGGCCTGGATAAATTAATTAGGATTATCAATATTATTGCATGCAAGTATATATTATATACATATATGTATGTGTCCATGCAAAGTTGCAAACAGCGGCAGACGCATAAATTTCCGCTAGCAGGGACGACAATGTAAAAATATACTAGTACATACAAATACATATATATTAAAATTTCGGGGTAAATATACCTAGGAAAATAAAATTTTGGGGAGACATGTGTCTCCATGCTCGGTCCGCCACTGCATGCATGCAAACAAGTATAGTAATTTTTATTTATTATTTATTTATATAATAAGGGTAATTCAACGACGTAGTAGGGATGTTTTTACTTGGACTGAAATATGCTGGTCTGATCTGGTCTGTTTAAGTCTGGTCGAGTCTGGTTTGAACTGGTCTGAACTGATCTGATAAATGTCTGGTTTCTGTGGATTTTATAACTAAGGAAGTGCGGTCTGGTAGGTAATACTTCGTATATTTGTTTTGGTACCTCAATAATTACAATCGTGATCTAGGCATATGATAGTACTATACTATCTATCGTATTCAATATTTACATATAAATGCATGCATGCAAGCTTTTTTCATATCTCTTGAGTTACGTTATTTACGTAAATATATTAAGGTATGGTACATATAATCATTAATGTATGACTACATGTCTACATATAATTGATTAGGTTTAGTTGATCGAACAGTTTCTATAATAAGTTTGTATATACCTTTAATTTGTATGGTTTGGTTTAATTTGTCTGTGTTGTAATGTAGTTCATCCATATATGGCCAGATAGATTGAAATTAATTAATTAACTCAATTTGATTAATTGCCACAGTCAAAGTGTTCGAATGGGAAGACGTAAATACAAGGCAGAAAGTGGAAAAAGATTTCCTCCAAGAAGTGTCTGTTTGGTATCATTTGGACCATCCTAATGTTGCAAAGGTAAACCCAAATAAGGACATATAGCTATGGGTTTTTCATTTGCTTTGAAATTTTCAAAATTCAATCAGGCCCTAAATCTGTTTTTTCATACTACGCATGTTCATTGCATTATATATATACTCCGTATATTCATTGAATTTTCTTTAATTTGTGCGTAGTTTGTTGGAGGAATAAGGAGCTTATCAAAGGTGAATATCATACCCAAACACAGCTTTAGAGTGCCTCAGAATGGCTACTGCCTAGTGGTTGAATACCTCGCCGGCGGCTCTCTCCGGGAACACCTTTCTAGACACCGGACTAAGAAGCTTTCTGAGAGGGATATTGTTCACTTTGCTATTGATATTGCTAAGGGGTAACATACACACTACTACATTTATTACTATTACTATACACGTTAAGTCACATATTTATTTCTTATCACATTTGGGATTTAATTTGTTTCCTAACACTTAACATGTTGAATTGCTACAGATTGTGTTACCTTCACTCTAAGAAAATCATCCATAGAGATGTCATGACCCATAATTTGCTTCTTGACAAAGAAGGACGTGTGAAGTTCGTGGACTTTGGAGTTTCTCGATTGGAGACAGCAAATAAGAACTTGATGACGGCTAGTGCGGGAACACAAGGTTACATGGCTCCGGAGGTCTTTGATGGAAAGGAATATGACCACAAGTGTGACATATATAGCTTTGGAATTTGCTTGTGGGAGATCTACACTTGCACATTCATTGTCGACCAGGTATGTCCATCTATATATATATATATATATTACTCGTTTTCACAATGTTACTATTCACTTTAGTTAGTATATTCACCAACATGAGATTTTTTTTAAAAAATGTTCAGGGTCGAAAACTTGACATACCAGATTCGTGCCCAAAGAGTTTAGCAGATTTGATGACATTGTGTTTGGATTCGGATTCGAGCAAGAGACCAGAGATGGAGATGGTGGCGAAGATGCTAGAAGCAATCCCTACTCAAGATACATCAAGAAAACTACATTACACTAAAAGTGTTGGCTGCTTCTCCATATTTTCAAGCCTACAAAAGCATCCTCACTCCTAGATAGCGCAGGCTGCCTAGCTATACCATTTTTATTTCATAGTATTCTAGTGTTCGGATTAATATATACGATAAAGAACTACGTGGGCTTTGATTTCTCTAAAGAGAACATGTAAAGAGAATACGTGGATTACGTGGGCAACTTTCATGAAGTGCAAGCCCTTTTGTTTATATAAACCTTATATATAATGATTTTTTAATATTTCATGTAACAAAGGCCTTTATTTTATATTTCACTATAGCATGAACCAAAACCAACGTTCTCAAATAATATGAGTATCATATTTCTAATTAAAAGATCTACTGCTAATAGATGTGATTATCTATGGACAAACTATAATTACCATATCAAACTTCTATTTCATACTATATTTCAGTTTTGTGCCATATCTTGCACCAAAGATGTTTTATAAATTAGTCATACTCATTTATGTTGTGTTGATAAATTAGACTAAAAATGGCAATTCTATAAAACACATGCACAATGTGATGGAACTTTAATCCAGGTTCTTTGACAGTCATTAAATATAATGTTTTACTATGGCTATATGAAAAGTCGGTTGACCTTCTCACAAATCATAACAATAAAATTAAAGGAGTGTTTGGGGTTCATTAAAAAAAGCACTTTTCAGCTTTTGGCTTAAAAAAGTTGAAAAGAGTGTTTTCAAATGATAGTTTCTGCTTAAATTAATCACTTAAAAGCTAAAAGCTGGAAGCAGGTAGAAGGGTGCTTTAAACTGCTTCTCACTTTTTCTACTACACAAAAAGTACTTATTTTACCAAACACTACCAACTTTTACTTTTTCAGAATCACTTTTTTCTCAAACACTACCAACTTTTACTATTAATCACTTTTCCCAAAATCACTTTAAAAAATCATTTTTTTAAAGTTGAAGCAATCGCAAACACTCCCTAACTGGTATTTACCCATCTGTGTAGTCACATACAAGACTCCTCAATTTTGATGAAAAGGGGTCAAATAGGTATGTTCTACCACTATGATCGATACATTTGGTGTCAACTAGTCTTGGACCCGATTTGGACTGCTCGACCCGGGAACCGGCCCGGCCCGCTACTGTGCGAGCCCGGCCCGGACCGGTGTACCGGTTTTGGTTCTAGGCCTAGGCCCGGTCCTGGGGGTGAGGGTGGGGCGGTCCCGGTTCACCCCATTCTTTGGAACCGGCCCGGCCGGGCCCGGTTCGGGCCTTCTATTTTTGTTTTTTAGTTTTTTCATTGTTTTGAGCTTTTTCCTGAGTTGGGCTAGACGTTTTGGGGGGGTTTGAGGAGTGGGGGGTCGGGGTTAATAAGAAAAGAAAAAAAAAAACATGAACCAGGCCCGACCCGGACCCGGTGGTGACCCGGGCCGGTCCCGGGCCTTCAACCAAAAATCAAAAGCCCGGCCGGGCCTAGGCCCGACCCGGACCCGGACCCGAGTCCATGACTAGTGTCAACCCTGATTTTCACACTTAATATTTTGATTAAAGAGTGTTGCATGAATTCAGTGGTGAATCAAGATTCCAGACTTCCATGTTCTTCAAAGAATGGAGAAACACAATTATGAGCCCAACGTGGTAATTACGGGATAGAACCGAATAAAATCACATTCTCATACAAGGCCTTATAGAGGCCTAGGGCTAGGAGCAGACATGTAAAGAGCTATTCAAGGAAGCTAGAAATGAGAACAATGGTTTCATGACTTCATCCCTGACACATGTACATTCAACACATTGATCAACAAGCATCGCAAGCAAGGTAATTTGAAGGTTTCACAGGCATTCATGATGGTTTTGATAAATTAGAGCACCATATAGCAATTCTATAAGCACTTGAATTGTGCAGGTTTCATTACATACATCATAAATCATTATAATGGCTATACCACAAAATTAAGGGGTCCAAATCAACCCAACAATTCAGAAGACTCCAAGACAGCTCTAAGTTTACATGAGCTCTCATCTATAACCACCCACCAACACACCAAATATACAGTCACACACTATGGTAAAAGTGTCGCCAATACGATTTCTAGGATGGATGAAAAAGAAAAAGGTGAAAGAGGCTTTAGTTGGACCAGACGTGTACAAGCCCAAGTCTGTTCCCAATATAGATTTCATTCCGCTCTTCGTCATAAAAGAGAGCAGTGATGTCATCTAGAGCTTCTGATACACTGCTCCTAATTCTAGATGTTTGGACACGTTTGGACTTGCAGCTTCTGGCCCCACAACCGGTGCTACAATTGCAACTGCTACGAGTAATAGCATTGGTCGCTTTGACTTTAGAAAGGCATTTTCCTGTCAAAATATTACTGATGTTGATGGAACCAGCTGCTCAAAAAAGGGAGAAAAAACCAAACGTTTATGTTAGAAATTAATGTACTTATACATTAGTAATTGCAACTGTTTTTATGAATGCATTGATATATATTACGCCTTAGTTTGGATTTTATCCAAAAGTGGAGGGGAGAAAGAGTTGCAGGGAGAAGAAGGGAAAAAAGAAACAAAAGGGAAAGAAGGGGGGGGCTGCAGGGGGCGGTAGAAGCAGGGGTAATACGAACCAGAAAAGAAAAAAAAAATAGAAATAGAAAAAGGGGGAAAAGGGAAAAATACAAGGAAAAAAATAGTACCAAAAAAGGCCAAGTGGCATCTACGTGAGCAACACATGGGGTTACCGGTTGTTTACTAGTTAAATGGAAAAATTGATTAAAATTTGAGAAATTGTATGCTTAATTGATTGATGAAACAGTATTGGACTCAATTGACTTTTTCAAAACAGTACGTGGACTTATTTGAATCAAATAAGGTGCTTAAAGTTGGACAAAACTTACCAGTTCCTTCAGATAGAGGGTCATCAGAATCAGCTTTGCAGTATGATATGATTAGATCGTGGTCACTAGTGATGTAAATGTTGTTAGTATTACAATCGGGATGCCATAAAAGGTGATCCTCGAATGATGTTACCAACTCCCCACGGAAGTTCCAAACGGCAACCGTCCTGTTTCTGAATGTCAAGAATAGCTGGTTCTCATAAAGAAATATGAAAGCCGATGGCGTCATGAACTCGGTCCTACTGACCTTTGTCAACTCAGAATTGCGAACCTAAAGATAATATATAATTTAAGTTAATGCTTGACTTGGTCCTTTGACTACACACTATCACTGGATTTGGTCATCAACTATTTATTGGACTAAATTGGTTCTCAACTCGAATTTTGAACCCAATTTAGTCCTCATATATATTTCGCCGTAAACAAGAAGGGTATTTTTGTTTGTCCTGAAAACATAGACTGGGTTTAGGAACCAGTTTGGGCCTCACCTAAGTAAATTGGACCCAATTAAGTTCCGAAACATACTTATGATAATAAATAAAGAGTAACTATGTCGCTTAACTGAATTTAGACCAATTTCAGGCCTCCTCAATGGCATAACTGAACCAAATTTTAGTCTATCATACATATTTGGTTCTAAAGAAAGAAGTTTTTTTTTTATCTTTTCAGAGCTCACAAAAATACGACCCAATTTTCAGACTCAATTTGACCAACTGTGTAATATGGGTCCATTTTAGTCCTCACGAACAACAGTACCCCTCTAATTTACAAAGAAATACACATGAGATTATATCCTGCCAAAATATTATTAGTCGAAAATAAATTGATTCCAGAAGAAAGTAAGCGAACGACCAAACTAAGTAATAGTGTATAGCCAAGGGACCAAATCACAAATGAACTTCAAATTGAACATTAGATTCGTCGATATATTGGTGGATGAGATAAGGTTGTGACAGTAAGATCACTCACATCCAGAATTTGAAGATTCTCATTTTCTTGCTTGACAAGTAGTTTTTCATTGAACTGTTCAATGAAGTCAACCTTCTTATTACGATGAAGCAGATGGTTGAAAGATTTTAGGACAGTCCCGTCCTCAATGGAGAGAATCTTTAGAGGAACATAGCAACTAGCTTTGGTGAATATTAATAACATAATTCCTGGACTATGGTTTCAAAAGAAAAATACGACATAAAATTAGAGTAAATACAAGCAGCTTCTTGCTTACAGTAAATTAGACTCGAAGGAATGTTATTGTATACAATTAGTTTTAACTTGGAAAATACAAAGGAAAATGAAATATAATTATTATTAATGAAAATTTGCTTAACCCTAACCTTTATTGAATAAACATAAATAAATATAATAGAGTACTAACAGATATCAAAAGCAAAAGCTATTGTCTTTTAGGGCTCTTTGCCTCTGTTTTATATCACACATGTTTTTTTCTTCCAATATTCCTTTACATTTTCCTTCCGGTTATCTTTGCCTAGTAATTCTGGATTCAAAACAAAAGGAATATCACACAATATATATAATAATGCAAGCTTATACATACTTGGAAAACTGCAAGCAGACTTACCTGATTTTAATCTCTTCAATTATAGTTTGGGAACCTCCGGCGGATACGGATCCGCCGCAAGGCATCTTAAGGCAAAGCACCCCGTGAGTATGCAAAATTAGGCGGCGGAACGGGGAAGCAAACTCAAATATCGAGGTTTGCGAATTCTCAATCTTTTGGTAATTTCTCCTACAATGATGCACAAAATTTGACTGGTATGGTTAACTTAATTTGTGAAGAAAATTTGCCTTATTTGTTTTCTGAAAGTCTTGCTTTAAGAGATTATGCACAAGGTAGTTTAAATCCTCAATTTAGAAATTATAGTCGCAAAACTGTTAAGAAAGAAATAATAAGGCTTTATAATGCGGAAAAGGCAAGGTTACAAATTTTTTTTGCAAACTTTGATGGGCGTGTTACTATTTGTTCTGACATATGGGAAGATGATTTTCATCATTTATATTATTTGGGTCTGACTGCACATTATATTGATGAAGACTGGAATATGCATAAACGTGTTCTTGCTTTTCGTGAATTTAATGATCATCACACCGCTGAACATATTTATATTTTGATTGAGCGTATTTTAATTGAGTATAATTTGATTGATAAGGTGTTTGCTATTGGTTTTGATAATGCTACTAATAATACTGCTGCTATACCTAGATTGCGTGAGTTGTGTGGTGCCAATACTTTGATGGGTAGATTTTTTCATCAACGGTGTGCATGACATGTTATAAATTTATGTGTGCAAGACGGTTTAAAAGCGTTAGGAGATTCCATGGAGGTAATCAATGAGGGGATTAGACGTATTTGGGGTAATGGTCAACTTCGATTAAAATGGCAAACTTATTTGACTGAAAGAGGTGTGAGATATGTTACTTTTCCTAAAGATTTGAGTATTCGTTGGAATAGTACTTATAAATTACTTAAAGTTGTTCTTAGATATAAAGAACATTTTCCTGCTTTTTTAAAAGAACATGATAACTATATTATAAACGCGGCTGAGATCGACACTTGCGAAAAAATTTGTAATGTTTTGATATTTTTTTTAATGCTACTGAAACTTTTAGTCATGTTTATAAACCTACCGCAAACCAATTTATTCGTGAAGCTGTTAATCTCGCCGGTGCTTTTAAAGAATTTGAGAATGCCGTTTTCGTTCATTATTTTTGTGATTCTATGAAGGAAAAGTTTTTAAAATATTATGCGCATATTCCCCATATTTATGGTATTGCATTTATTCTCGATCCTCGTTATAGACTTGCTAATTTGAAAGATTGTTTCTACTTCTATTATCTTGCGTTTTTTGGTGAATTTCCAATGTATGACGATAACCCCATAGATCGGAAAACGGAATACAACAAGGTTAGTACTTTATTTTATGCCTTATTTAATGAGTTTCGTGCACAATATAGCAACGCTCCCCCTCCCCCGTCACGAACATCTTCATCTAAAGGAAAATCGATTTTTAAATCTGCATTTGGCAATCTTATGAAAAAAACAAAAACAACTCACGTCACTGAACAAAGTGCATTGAATGAGATTACTTTGTATTTAACATATGAAGTTGATTTTGAAGAAAATGATGACTTTGACGTTCTAGACTGGTGGAAGTCAAAAGAAAGAACGTTCCCGATTTTAGCACAGATGGCTAAGCAAGTACTATCAATGCCGATTTCAACAGTTGCTGTGGAACAAGAATTTAGTTCGGCCGGCAACGTCCTAACGGCATCTAGATCGAGATTGAGCGCGGAGTCTCTTGAGACGCTTATATGCTACCACGATTGGTTGAAGGCCGCACGTAGAACTCAAGAAATGAGCATCACCCCCTCCCAAGATTTTATGGATGACTCAACAACCAATGGTGGCTCTACCTATGCCGGAGATTCCGATTGATTGGTATTTTAGAATTTATTATAAAATGTATTTTATAGCACTTGTCAAATTTATTTATACTTGTACTTCATATTTCAAAATTGTAAACTTGTACTTCATATTTCAAAATTGTAAATTTGTAGTTGTACTTCAAATTAATTTGTAAACTTGTACTTCATATTTCAAATAAATATGTGTTCACTTTTTCATATGTAGCACTTCTCAAATTAATTAATTGGTTACAAACTAACGACTTAAAATTATTTTTCTAAAATATAAAGCCGGTTTTTAAATTAAAAATACATTTACAATATGTAATATGTTTAAATACTTATACACCTATTTTGTAACATTTGTAAATTATAAATCAAACCACTTTTCTAAGTACAAATAGTTTTAGTTTTACTTAATTCATTAAATTAATCAATTTATTTTACAATATGTATAACTTAAAAAAAAATGAAATCAAACCTCCCAAACGGCTATATAGCCGTTGGGGCTATGGGTGGGGGGCAGGGGGGTCCCGGGGGTGGTGGTGTGGTGAGTGGGGTTCAAACACATCTATAAATACATCTATTTTCTAACATTTTTCTACACCTCTTCTCCAATTCTTCTCCATCTTCATCTTCTCTTATTATCCTACATTCCTACTTATACATATACCATTTTAAATATGGAAAGTACATCTTCCCTTATGCAAAACAATTTTGACAAGTGGAAGGACCCGAAGACCGGACTGTGGTGGGCAACTTGCAGGTGGTGCAAGAAAGAGTGTTGCTTGGGGCGTTCATACGGATACGGGATGCCAATAAAACATATGAAGTCCTGTGACAAAGGGAAAACAACAACAAACGGTGGCGGAAATCCCAATTGATATTCATTAGAAAATGTATTTCGTATTGTTATTTTTTTCTCAATTCTCAAATGTAGTTCTTATTTCAAATAAATACACTTGAACTTTGGTTTTAATAGGAATTTGTATAATAAATATATAATTAATTAAAAAAAATACTGGCCCGGCCCGGCGGGTGGCCCGACCCGTGACCCGGGCGGGTGGACCGGCCCGAACCGGAACCGGCCACTGCCCAGGCCGGTCCCGGGCCTACCATTACAAGACCCGAGGCCGGTCAAACTTATAAAATATACCTTACCGGAGCCGCCGTGCGGCCTCCACGTTTTGAAGGCCTTCCCGGTTGATTTTTTTGATGAATTGTTTTGAGCATGTTCTACATCAAGTCTAGTACATCCATACCAAATTTCAACAAAAAATTCAATCGGGAAGGCAATCAAATGAGTTTTGGAAGATAACTGCAATCTTTATATACATATAAAACGCAGTTATCTTCCAAAACCATATAATTTTTTACATATAATTTTTTCTTTATTTTATTAATACAATATATCTAAAAAAAATCTCTTGAATCAGCAGAATCAGCCAATGCAGCCACTTCAGCTAGAACTTCATAAATTTCAGCAGAATCAACCAAATCAGCCAATTTTCATGCTACCAAACGGGCTCTTAGTTAGCCAATCTTGACTTTTCCGGTCAAAGGTGGTAAATGACGTGCACTTTGTCACGATGCGTCAAAATAAATTCAATACTAGCACTAATACGTAGTATAGCGTAGTAGAGTTCATATCCACATGGAAAGGAATAATTCTCTTTTTAACGAAAGGAGTAATTAAAGGGGGGTTTTGATTGTTGAGTGATTTAATTAAATTTAAACACGAAGATGAATGGGATTAAATTCAAGAATAAAAAGGACTTGGCATTGCTAATTTCCACTTGTTGATATATTTTAGTCGTTCATTGTTATATCTATAACTTATCCCCTCTCAAATACTCAATCGAGGAGTATATCCAATTCATCGAGGGTAGTTATTAACAACGACCGTTCATTAATAACCCTTACTATTAGTCAAGTATAGAACACCGCCATATACCGACTTGATAGTAGCATTTAATCTCTTAACTGCTTGATGAAATCAATTGAGATTGATAACCTCAACACAACGGTTTTGGTTTAACCAACAAAATTAATCCCTCTTAAGTTTATTAACCACGACCGTGCATTAATAAACCGAAGTTACTTGTGAAACCATCAACGATTAACCATCGGTTCGTTGAACGTTTCTAGTAGTAATTAATGTTGAGATGTTAACTAATTGTCATCTTAGCAACACTCCCCAACATTAACATAGAGATAGATTAAGGGAAGAATTAATATTCAAGGAAGAAGATTAAATATGAATAATCCTACTATAACTAATGTCAAGATGTTATCTAATTGTCATCTTAGTAACACTCCCCAACATTAATATATAGAGGAAGAAAATAAATACTACTATAACTAATGTCGAGATGTTAACTAATTGTCATCTTAGCAACACTCCCCAACATTAATATATAGATAGATTAAGAGAATAATTAATATTCAAGGGAAGAAGTTAAGAAAATAACTCACAACTTTAATAATCAACAAGCTTCAAGAGCAACACCAAGAAATGGAAGTTTAGCTCCTCATTTGGAGACTAAACATGCTATAAAAATATAAAAGAAATACTATTCTAAACTGAGCTTAAGAGTATGGAAGAAGGGATGTCTTTAATGTGAAGGAAATGGGGTGTATTTATAGCAAAATGGAGGTGGCAGGGTTCTGTACTTGATCCAGTATATGGGATACTGGACCGAGTATGTGAGGAAATTTCCCGGAAATTGTGAAAAATAGGCATACTCGACCGAGTATTGCCAATACTCGACCGAGTATGAGACATGATTTTCATCAAATATTCAGCCACGTTCTTTTGCTCCCAGATTTGATTTTGACCAGCGTATCAGGCCAATACTCGACCGAGTATGGGCAATACTCAACCGAGTATTGAACAAATTTCAAAATCTTCATTTGATCTTCTCCTTTTTGCACATTCTTTGGTCTTTAGGATCCATCCTTTGATTCTTGGAATGATTTTGACCTGTCCTAAGCTCAATATAATCCTAATCTAAATAAATTACAAATAATTAATGAAAATAAAGTATTACACCAAAAGTGTGTAATTTCCACAACTAGAACTAATAAAACTAGTTAAAAATACAAACATACATAATAGGAAATTCACTCTATCAAACTCCCCCACACTTAGTTTCTTTACTCGTCCTCGAGTAAAGTCAAATGTTTACAAGCTTTCCAAGTCCTCCATATTTCAACAATTAACAATAAAGAGAAAAAGACCACCAAGAATAACACATGTGTTTTACATTGAGTTTTAGCTCAAAGAATAACATTTTTTTGGGTTTTATGGCCTTCTATGCTCATCTCTTTTCTTCTCTTCTATTCTTCTTTTCTTTCAAGAGATTAAATGATGCCCTACAAAAAACAAATATATCTCTCATATCTCTCATTCTGCCTAGGGGCCTTTTCAGGTTTTCATCCTAGCATCTCTTTTTGTTTTTCCATCCTTTCCAAACTCACTCAATTTTTTTATAAGCCCTTTTTGCTTAGATTGCCCGTTTTTGGGTTTTCAACCTAACTAGCATTATTATCATTTTTTATTGTTTTTTTTTA